AAAAAAGCAATGGCACAAATCACCACAGAATTATTTAAGTGATCATATCCACAGGCTGCTCTTGTAATTATATGCTAAAAATATATGACTGTTCTCATTAACAGCATTTTCTCTAATTAGACTGACATCAAGAGCTTCTGAGAATGTGTAATTTTTCCTGAAGTATGACTAAAAGTATCATAAACACGGTTTGTGCAGCATTCACGTACATCACCTTTTATTTACTACACTCTAAACTCATAAAATATTTAACATATCTCTCTTCCTTTCTCTTATTTACAGTACAGAGGCTCATCTCTTGTCACAATATGGTGTGTGCATTAAAATCCCTGGGAATAGTACTTTCCACATTTTAATAAATTGACTCTGATTATTTAAAATAAGTACACAAAGAAAAGCTTGTTCACATGACTGTGTCATACCCAGAAGAATAACTCTTCCAGTAGACCTATTCTCTGTCTCAAAAAAAAAAAAAAAAAAAAAATCCCTCTTTAAGTAGAACACATTCTTCAGCCACTACTGGATTATGTATCATGCATATTTATAATGCTCATATGACAACAGGTAAAGCCAGCGATGACTTTTTCAATTCTGTTTGGAAGAGTATAGCACGCACAAAGTGATTTGGCTTTCACTCTCTTTTTATCTATAATCCAGTTATTTCACATGGGTATATTTTATTTATTCTTAGTATACAAGTATTTAATGGTTCAATAATAACTGGCAGCTTCTGACAGTCCTATTTTCTTGATTGTGGATACAGTTCTGTGCACATATGTCAGATGAACTGAAAAAAATGCAAATCACCTCATGTGATGCAGCAAAAAGCAGCAGAATGTTATTATTTAAACAAATGATTCAAAGAGATGAATACGAACATTCCAGTGACAGGAATACTATGAAATTAGGTATGTTTTAATATGTGCTGTCTTCATAACTTGCCAGATCTGGTATTTATGTTTTTGGTTAAAAAGCAAACCTAACTGGGGGAAGGCAGAGGTGAGGAGGTAATAAAGGTGAGAAAGCACATATTTATACTATATATGATTTTAGGAGAAAAAAGTGAGTGGGAAAAGAATATATTTTCATATTAAAAAAAAACTGTCACATCTGGACACATTTCACAGAGAATATAAAAATAGCACATAAGTTAATTAACCTTCTTTCCTCCCACTCCAGAAATATTTGTTTTATAATAATATTAATAATAATTAACATAATTCTGGCAGCAGCATAAATCTATGACTTTTTAAGGCTTGAGAGTGTCACTTTTTAATAGTTGGGTACAGTTGAATGAGAGTCCTGCCATTTCTTTTATTTACACTCTTGACTCAGCAAGAATCATTACAGAAGTCCCCACGGTGGTTATCTGCAGCTCGTTAAGTCTCCTACGATGGCTTTGACTTTATAACCCATTCAGCATTTGGATTGAGCTGGTATAAGTCCTTCATGTAAGTGTCGTCATCGAGGCAGCGTTCCCCTATTAAAGAGATGTATCGGTTTAATACAGTGGGTAGACTGGGATGAAATTTTAAACGTAAGCCTAATGATTTAACGCTTAAGTCTTAGACTTCAAACTACTTCTCATTGTTTCCTGTTTCTCATAATATTATGAGAATCAGCCAAAATGTTGGAAAAGTCCATTTGATAGTCTTTCTCTAAATGAACAGGTTTCACATTAATTTAGGATACTGAAAATAATTTGTACAATGGGCTTTAAATGGTTTCTTAAAACCGTATTCACCTTTATTAGTACTGGCAACGGTTTTGAATCCACCTAAGAAACTACACTCAATTTCCAAGATCTAAGAGTAAATGAAGAATCAAATATATTCATATTTACATAAGCTTTACTAACAAAGTTAACGATTCAGGTTTCTAGTGGAGTTGTGGTTTATTTAAATTTTAAGAATGAGCCTTCATATTCTTATATTCTACTTTCAATATTTACTAACAGTTTTAAGTCCCAGAAAAAAATTCTACAAAACTCATCTTAAAATTATTTTCAATTACTATTTTGAATTCAACATTATTTCATTTATTTCTTAACAATTTTGCCCTTACCATTTTCAGAGTCAAAAAAAGATAGAAAGTTTCCTTTAAATTTTAAAAAAGAGATGAGTGAGACTCACCGATAATTATGAAAGGGCAAAATAAATTATAGAACACAGTCAAAATTACTTCATTTATTCTATTTCTATTTCCTAAATTACTAATGTTAATGAGAGTGAGAGAGAGAGAGAGAGAGAGAGTGAGTATGTGTATAAAATTTAGCAGGAAATCAACTATGGCCAAAATTATTCATGTTTTTACTAAAAATATCTAATACGGTACCATAATAAAGTGTTATCTTAGTCTCAAATAAGCTCTACTACTTCCTTTATTATGTGATGTGAGTGTACAAAAAAGAAAGAAGTTTTGAAAAACTTGCATCATTAACCATTCTGGAAGTCACTCCTATCATATAGGGAACTTGACTTTGCTGAGGTTGAACACAGATGGGCATTTGTACAGAAGGAGCTCAACCAGAGCCTGAAGAGAAAGGTCAGACCATTAAACAAACCCACAATATTCAGCAACTACAAAGCATGTAACATTTTACTTCTGATTTCCTTTTTTTCCCCTCCAAAGATATAAATAATAATCGCTGGCAATGTCAAATCAGCATATGGAATGCAAAGAGAAAAAAACGTGCTTACCAATATTTCCTCCAATTTCATACAAAAAAACTTCCCCTTTCTTGAGTGTCTGGGCAACCCCACTATTAAGGACAAAACAAACTGATTAGTTGTATCATCAAACAGCTTGCAAGTAAATCACTTTAACATGCTTGGGGAATTCTGGCTGGTATGGAAAATTCATAACTTAGACACACCATAATTATCTACACATTTGTATTTTCCCATCTGTTAAATATGCTGAATAGGTAATAAAAGTATCACACCTGTAAATTAAAATAAACAAATGGAAACATACATCTGAAGGCAAAGTAATAAATCAGTATCTAAATTTGGACAATTGAAAAGTTAACATTTAGCTGCCAATCAAATTATTAATATGATTAGCTACTATGCATAGGGGCCAAAATGGTCTTCATAAAACTATAGAAAGAAATGTTTCCAACTTAGTTTTCACATTGTGCTTATTCAGTAAGTATTTATCATGGGTTTGCTGTGCTGACACCTCTAATAGTGTGTAAGATGAATGTAAGGAATAAGGCGTGCTCTGTGTTGGCTGTTCAAACGCGGGAGGTACAAACACTGACAGCAGAAGTAAATTATGTCATTACGAGGACTTGACTTTACCGAGCAGGTTATGTTTACAGATTTACACTCTTCAAAGAATAAACTCTTTTAGAACATTAGGTTCAAACATAAAAATTGGTCAAACGCAGGGGGTTTCAAATCTTTCTGTAAAACAATTACCTAAGAAACCTGCAAAAAAATTCAGATCTAGAGCTTTGGAAACTCTGATTTAATGGGTCTAGGATGAAGCCCAAGAATCTGCTCTGAAATGCTCTACAGTGGATTCTGATGCATGGAAAGGTCTGCGAACCACCACTATAAGGCCCTGAAGACTCTCTCTAGAACTAAGAAGAGAAAACCAGGTCTGACTTGTATTCAAGCTGTTAGGAGGAATATGGTTACAATAGCAGTTTTCCTAACCGACCACAGAATGGCTCATCTGGTTCTCTCCCCCTTCTCTACCAGCTGGTGTCTCTGGCGCCCTGGATGCTCAGGGCTGTACGTGCCCTCACTCTCAAGTTCTACCTGCGGCACTGCATCCTAGCCAAGAGTCAACTCACTTTGTTTCCAACCAGGTGTAGGTTTATTTTTTTTATTTAAATAATTTAATAATGGTTATTTCTATTTACAACATAGTACATAACCTAATCAACCATGAGTATAAAAAGATTCGCTGTTTCTGTGAAAACCAAGTTGAACGTTTCAGGAGACTTGATTAAAAGGAAAAAAAAATACAGATATTGCTCTCAGATGGATTCTCAAGAATCTATGTTCTTGCTCCACTTTAAAGAAACTTGAACTGAATTTCCGGGTATATGCAAGCTTTTGCACAATACTAATCAACAAATTCATAAATAAAGAAAAGGCAACAATCTTTTATCAAAGACTGGTGGATGAATGTGCAATTGATTGTACATTTATTTTTTGTCATTCATGTGTTCATTGGCTCCAGTTGAGAAAGTGGGGGGAGGAAAAGAATGGGAGGAAATAGGGTTTCCAACTGTTCCAACACAGGTGGAATACAAATGGGAGAAGCACGGGAATGTGGTAGAAGAAAAAAAGATATATATGAACATTTACTGAGGATTTTACTTACTATGTGGCCCAGACAGACAGTGCTCTGTGCTTCTTGGTCATTTTCCTAGTTAATTATTGCAAGACTCTAAGGTAGGTCCACTCGTACAAATGAGGAACTTGGACTTAAAGAGACCATAAAACTAGCCTAAAGTGAAACAGGAATTGCTAGCTTTTGAATCCACATTGAATGTCTGTCTCCAGCATCCCGAAGCATAAGGAAAAGGGAAAAAGAGGTAAATGGAGAGAGAGGTTTCCCAGACTTCGCTCTGGGTGGAGGACAGAGGAGAGAGGAGGTAGAAGAAGGAACCAAGGGGTAGCAAATTCTTGTTTAATAAGAGGGACACAAACAGAAAATCTAAATATGTGAAGGGCAGTTATGACAAAGCTGATGCTTTCTATAACAATACATCTACTACTGTTTCATGTAATGGCCTAAATATTAATATTAGTCACAGTTGAAGATATGATACAACTTCATAGTCACATCTTATATTATCAGCAAATAGAAGAACAAAGGCACAGACTAAATCGAGCACTTGCGTCCTGAAAGTAAATACTGTGTAAATTAACTGTGTCTAGCTTGGAAGATGGAGGAGCTGCTTAAATCTGAAGTCTGGCCAGATGTTCAGGTACACATTCTGGGAGAGGATGGGACATCATCCCTGGTGGGAAGAATGGCAAAAGCTGGTACCTACAAACTGAAGACAGGGAATAGGGAGGAAGTGGATGGACTCCAGTGAAGCCAAAAGACCCCTTAGGGAGCAAAGACACCTGAGAAATTCTACCACTGCCAGGACTTAATCTCAAGGAACCATCTACTCCCAGACTCGCACCAGTGGCCCCCAGATCTGGGATGCTCTCTAGACCCTGCCACCAGTGTGGAGAGTGGTTAAGGGACTGCCTCTGGAGACAGAAACCACAGACTTAGAATTCCAGACCTATGAAAAATGCGTGACCTTGCAAATCTCAGTTTTCTTATCAGTAAAAAGTAAGTAATAACAGTACTTACATCAGAGTGTTATTGCAAGGGAAGTTTATGCTGGGTTACTGAAAGCCCAGATATTACCAATAAGCCTCTCTTCCATTTCAACACCATCTGTTAGCTGCACAGATTCATCCCTTCTCCCAATTTATAAACCCTGAGGGAAGGTACTTTAAAATATACGTTTATACTCCTTCTTGCAGTACCTAGCTAGCAGAAGGCCTTAAACAGAGCAGAAACATATTAAATACTTGTGATACTGTATTAAAATTGGAGAAGCTTTGGCAGAAAGCTTGATTGAAGCTCCCAAATATTAGAATGAGATTAAATTCAAGAAAAGTCCAAAAAGAGAGTATTCATAAAGCAAGATGTTGATGCCTCGGATTTCCCTCTTTTTAAAAATTTAAATTTGTTTGTTTCAATGAGTGAAAATGGGGGTGGGGAGGGCAGGAAAACATGACTTTAGCTAAAAACAAGAATTCAAAGGGTAAAAATGAAAACTCAATGTACTTGCTAGAACCTCTAAAATTCAAGGAAAGATAGTGCAAGACGTTTTGGAAAGTGCATGCTCTAACATAGTCAGAGGGAGGCTAACAGCTTTCAAAGGACTCTCCCTGCCCCATCAATCTCAAAATAGAGGTGAAGGACTTGACCTTAATGAGGACGGTATGTTCTCCCCTTGGGACTTGAGAGCTCAAGGGATTGGTTGTCCTCTCTCAGTTTTTCATGGATTTTTGTTTTCAAATTTGTGTATTTTTTATTCTGTACATTTCACATATTAAGTTGTGCCTTTTATTTTAATCCCACTGCATCCTAATTAGTAATTTTCCTTACAGCCTACAAAGAGTAATTAACCTCCAATCAACATATTCTGGTAAGAACACTGAGTGGCCTCCTTTGCAAAGCCCATCGCAGGCACAGTGAAGGAATGCTCGAGAGCCTGTCTGAATCAGGCTCAACCTGAACACAAATTGCATCAAATGAACCAAACTCATTCCAACAGTCTAATTGTTCAGCCTGCTCTGCTCTTCTGCTGAGAAGACAAAATTTTTAAGCGCTTCATACAACCCCATAGTTAAAGAAAAAAATGAGAGAGAGAGAGAGGGAGAGAGAGGAAGAGGGAGGGGGAGAGAGAGAGAGAGTAAGGAAGAGGAGGAGGAAGGAGAAGAGGAGGAAAGGGAGGAAGAGCAAGTGAGTTATACCATGGAATAATTAACACAAAACAGGCCTCTACCTTTCTTGGCTGAGAAACCTGGCAAGTACATCACTGGCTTTTAGTTCTTCAGTTAGCTGTATTGCCATGGAAACTTTCGAAAGATGGGGAGCTTGCACTCGAATCACTCCCTGAGGAACGTCAGCCTGCAAAGCAATAATGACACTGGAACAAAGCTGGCAGCAGCTGGAACATGTAACTCTGTACAATGCATTATATGGTAAGTGTGCTTAACTACTATGCATTTTACTTCACTACATAAAAACCTTAACTACTGTATAATGTAATTTGCTAAATTACATCAAACCTCAAATATCCTCTTAATGGTGATAGGGGAACTTTATAATGCCTGTGCAGTAATGCTTAATTATTTTTAAAGATGTAAAGAATGACAGCAATAACCATTACTGCCATATTAACTGCTGATTTCTGAGTATTACCTACTAGAGGGTGCTTCTTCATGTAGCAATTTATGAAATTGAATCAGAAAGAAGTTACTTTGTGTGTGTTTTAAAAATCTTCCTGCACATTCACAAAATTTCACAAAAATTTTTTGTCCCAGAGTGTTAAAAAAAAAAAAAAAAGAAACATACTTTCCTAATCTATTTGCATTGTGTCTGTTCCCCATTTGGCTAATGAGCTTACACTTTTGACTCTATACTTTGAACTTACGATGACCAATCCTAAGCCCGTTGCCCATGGATGTGAAGAATATTTTATGAATTTGGGGATATCAGTGAAAGTTTATGAGGTTTGTAATATGAAAATGTCAGCTATAGCATTAAAAATATTAAGCTTAATTAATTCCTAAATGGTTCTGCTAAAACAAATATTAATTTATTATTTATAACCATGTGTCTTACATCTTAGAACAAACAGCATGCACAAATCAGGTTTTAAGACAATGCTTTAAATACTACAAATACCTGTTCAACTGAACTAAAATTTATTAAGCATCTACTTAGTACCAGATATTGTGCTAGGTCTACTTACCGAGTAGATAAATAAGACACAAATCCTTTATTGCACGATATTATTTTTCTGCCCACACTATGTCTTTTTTTTAATGTACACGGTCTTGAATTGCTTTTCATTTTTAAACATCAAACACAGATACACCACAGACACCATTAATATGCTTTCTTTCCAAGTTCAACAAAAATAATATCCCTTTAGAATTGGGCTGCATAAAACTGTAGGTGTCCCCAAAAGATTTAATATAGCTTCTCAGTAATATCAGAGTTTGAGTGTGGGAATAACAAAGAAAAGAAGCAACACTATATAAGACTGTGCAGTGAGCACAGGATCGGGTAGTCCACAGACCGCAAACAGCGGCCAGCCCTGTGAACATACAAAAGAGGGTCTGACCGCCAGCCTCAGAAACCCTGCCACCCTCGCCTGAACACTCAGTAGAGGCCACAGCGCACACTTACTCCAAACCTGGACAGTCTTCTGGGGCTTCCCACGGGTGATCCTGCTGGGTGAGGAACTGTGGTCGTAGTGTCCTACCTAACTTCCCTTCCAGGGAATATGATGTTCAACTCAATCCTTAAAGGACACCCTAACTCCAGCATCCCAATTCCATACCCCCAATTCCAACCCTGCTCAGCCCCCTCAACTCCTGCTCAATCTCTCTATCCAGCCTGGACCCTTAGCTTGGTTCTTTGACTTCTACTTTTTGGGTCACATACTTTGGCCTGATCCCTTAATCTTGTCTATGGCTTTGACCTTGACCTTGCTCCTAGGATGCCAGTATAGTTCACCTTTGTAAACTATACTATTCATTTGTAATACTTTGGAAAATACAACACTTCATACAACGGATAGGGCATTTCATGTGGTAGTGTTACCTTTTCCCTTTCAAAAAAATTACTGAATCAATGGTGTAACTAAAAACTCAGGGACTATGTAAACTAGTATATGAACTTTGCTTTTGGGTTTGATCTCTAGCTTATTTCCTATAGTGGCCCTTCTACCTGCTGGTATGGCCTCACCTATCTGTTTCCTCATAAGAGGTAAAAAAACAATAAGCTGACACTCTGATACTAACGTCAGACTGAAAACTGTAACAGCAACATTTGAAGCATTGAGACTGTGCTCATAAAACCCTTTATCTACTCAGTAAGGGCTACAATATTGGCAACTTTGGATTCTGTTTATTATTATCATCATCATCATCATTACTATTATTTTGTGGAGGGACCTGAATGGCAGGCCAAGGTTTACAGATAACCATATGCTTTATGCTGATGTTAAAAAGTTAGGAAATCCTGGTCAAGTCATACTGTCAAATATCCTTACATATAAGTTTTGTTTGATGACAGTAATAGTGACAAAAATTGTTCTCATAATTACATCTTACCCAACCCTAGAATTCAAAAAGGCAGCCAAATCTATGCTGACATTTAAAGTAAGATGATATGATTAAGTTTTTATATATAGAAGGTCCACAATAAATGAGTTATAAAACCAGAATGATTCAGAAAAATAATGTACTACCATAGAGAGCTCAGGGGGATGCCAACCATAGTCTTCTCCCTGCCTTTCCCCCCACTATACCTTGTGGAACCTTCTACTGTTTGGATTTTTAAAAAGGCCAAATTTTGCTATGAACACCCCACAGTTTCCCTTCTCTGTGTATGTCCTACTCCCATTCTGAAATATCTCTCTGCTACCCATTTTTCAAAGCCCAGCTCAAATACCTCATGGAATCTTCCATGATCCACAGGGTCAAAAGGAATTTATTTGTTCCATTGAATCTGCTGTATGATGGGGTCCTAATATATGACACCTGTATTCTAGTTACATGCCACATGTCTGTAGCCACCCATCAAGATTATTGATTAAATGAGTCACTGAGAAATATTTTTTACTATAAATGATACATTAACAATAGTAAAATTTATCTAAAATAAAAGAAAGTATATCAACATACATTTCCTTCATGGCAAAAAAATCATCTTAGGAACATGTCTAAAAAAACCAAGTTGCTTCTATTTACCACATGTTATTCTCTCTATTATCAAAAGAAGACAGGAATGGAAAGAAAGTGGAGGAAAGGAATTATTAGAAGCTACAAGAGGATAATTCAGTCATTTACTCCTGCAGGAACCCAAGCAGAAAAGCCAACATTAGCATCCATCTGCTTGGGGGTGTAGTCTCTTCTCCCCTTCAAGACATCTCATGAAGAGCTGAAAGCCTCTAATAATATGACCATAGGTCTATGCTTTCTAAGTGAGTTCAGGGATCATAGTTTTGAAGAGTACAGCTATTGCTTCCTTATAAAATGCAGCACTGAGTTGAGGGTGGTGTCAGGACTTGCGGAGAGAACACTCATCTGCCATAGGAATCCAGGGTCTTTCTGATAGTTAAGAGTTTTAAAGGAAGAGTCCCAGGTATTAGGACCTGCTGGCACTTGAGGGTTCTCATGTATATGTCTAATGTTAGATGCTTGTCATATTATAGAGGACAGAGGCTGGCCTTTGCCAATTTGGGAGTGGCATGGGAATTCTCCCCTGGGTTCCCTATGGCTATGAAATAAAACATTTCCCACCTCCCCTTGCCCCAGTGAGCAGCGGATGGGGCTGAACCAGCTCTGGCTCAGTGTCAGCCCTTCCCAAACTACTAACTGGAAAAATTTTGACTTGTTTCACATAAAGTTGGAATATCAATACCGTGAAAAGCCTTTCATTAGGCCAATAGCACAGAGCACCTTCCTAAGCTGACGAGCTATATTCCCTGACAACTAGGAACCTGTATTCTAGCCGTGTGCGTGCGCGTGTGTGTGCGTGTGTGTGCGTGTGTGTGTGTGTGTGTGTGTGTCTTGTCTGTGTGATAGAAACAGTTCTTAGCTTGTTTATTTCTGTGGTAAATCTTTCCACCCAGATTCTCACAACAATGTAGAGACTGAGAGTCTGACTCAATATGAATCTACCATGCCCTTTATCTTTGGAGTAGAAATGAGTTTAACCAGTAGATGTAATTGTAAAGATGAAGAATTTAAAAGTCGTTTCTGGAAAGTTTTTGCTGGGTATCTTGACAAGGAAGCCCAAACTGATATTTTTACACAAAGATGATAAACAATAAATTGATGCCCAAGATATAGTTTAAATGGTATATGACAACCACTAGTAAGTTCTAGAATCATGCTGTATCAAATACGGAAGCTATTAGTACACTAATTACATTGAGCTGCCAAGCTTTGAAAAGACACAACACGCCTGATCATTAAGCCAAACAGTCTGTTCTTAACTTGAGCCATAATAATAGCTGAGTCTGTGCTCAGTATAATCTTTGTAACCTATTTCACATTTTTTGGTTTAACAGCTGTGACTCTGTGTCCTACATTTTGAGGGGGAGCAGTGGTACCTGTGAACTGAAGTTATGTGCTATACAGCAGGGCTGAAGAAGAGCAGTATTTGACTAACATACCATTAAAGTTTAGTCACAGAGGATTTTACAACTTCAAGAGTGTTAATTTCTTATGCATGCAAAATTATTGTAATAGAGAAAATGATCTCATATGGTCCTCACATGCTTTACATATTAAACTAAAGTATATATTTTTAATCTGATTTTATTATCTGATTAAACAATTTTAGTATTCTATAGTGTATAAACACTGCATTGCTCATATTTTTGCACTCTAATGATTAGAAATGTAATGTCAGAACTTTAGAATAGACATTAATTTCTTTTTCTTTTTCATTAAAAGCTAATTTAAATGTAAAGCTGACATTTTTAATGCTACAGAAAAAGCTTTTATCTTCAAAAGGGCCAATTGGAAATACAGCTTTTTCTAAAAGAAGGCCAGATATAACACGTATTTTAGAAAATTAAACAAGGACATTTTAGCAAGGTATCTTAAACTGAAATGGCACTTTCGTCACCCTAGTCTGAATTGACAATACTGGGAGGTGGTGATATAGAAGGAATTCTCTCCTATCTTGAACTGTCTGTGTTCTGATTATAATTGGGTCTTTGTTATCCAAATGCCTTAATTTATTATCTAAGTCACAGATTGAAAGAATTTTAAAGAAGGGCCTTAAATAACTTCCACAGTTAATAACCATTTAATTTCTAATAAAATAAGTTCTGATATTTTTTCTTTTAATATGCTATTTTTTTACACACCATAAAAAAATCA